CAACAACACTGTAACAACAACAACAACACTGTAACTATAACTGTAACTGTTGTAACAACAACAACAACAACACTGTAACTATAACTGTAACTGTTGTAACAACAACAACAACAACAACACTGTAACTATAACTGTAACTGTTGTAACAACAACAACAACACTGTAACAACAACAACAACACTGTAACTATAACTGTAACTGTTGTAACAACAACAACAACAACACTGTAACAACAACAACAACAACAACAACACTGTAACTATAACTGTAAATGTTGTAACAACAACAACAACAACACTGTAACTATAACTGTAACTGTTGTAACAACAACAACAACTGTAACAACAATAACAACAAATGTAACTGTTGTAACAACAACAACAACAACTGTAACTGTTGTAACAACAACTGTAACTGTTGTAACAACAACAACAACAACTGTAACTATAACTGTAACTGTTGTAACAACAACAACAACAACACTGTAACTGTAACAACTCCATATTGTTCACCACTGTCGTTGTTACAGCTTTGATCGGACCTGAATTTCTGCCTAAAATAAAAATGTATTAATTAATGAATTAAATAGTTTAGTGAAGTAAATTGTGCAAATTATTATCAAAGCTAATAAATAACTCGTCCACTCATTAGTTACAGTTGTAATGTTATTAATTAAATATTAAATGTGTTGTCTAACTCCGCCCACGTCCGACCCGCAGCAGTAGTTTTGGGCCCAAACCTGAAGGGTTGTGTTGTTCTAAAGCTCGAATGGATTCTTCCAAAGATATTATATTTATATTTATATTTATATTTATATTTATGTGTGTCTGAGGAGGAATCAGAACCAGCTCACAGAGCAGACGTTCTTTCTCAGTGAAATGATCCACTCTGGTGTTTTTGAAGCTTTAAACTTTTGCCCCTTTCAGACGGTTGTTGCCCTGAGAGACGCTGCAGCAGAGGGGCAGTTACATTCTGCTCTATAAGGTTAGAACTGCTTAAGATATATGATGATAACTGGAAGGACCACAGCTGACTCATAAAGCAGCAGCTCCAGGAGGGGTGAGGAGGTAGAACGACACTGTGGTACTGTATCGGATCCTTGTGGGTTCAATATCCAACATTAGTAAGTAGAAATAAGTCAGTGCAGTGCAGAAGGTTTGAGGAGTGTCTGTGGAAGTCCCCGCTGGAATAAAGGTCTGTATGGTGTGCGGAGGAAGCCCCTCTAATAAACAGTAATAATTTATAAGCTGTGTATTTTCAGTGTCTTCCGTCATGGTGGCTCGTCGCTGTTTAATATTTAAACGCGCTGACTTCAGCAGGACTCTCTGCTTCCACACAGTCTCACTCAACTGTCAATCACCACAGCGGGGGCGAGGGGGGGGTGGTCTCAGGGGTTAAAGGTGAACGCCGGTGTCACCTCCTATCAGACTGACGAGAGCAACGGAGGAGAGTCGACGCACTGAGGGGCTGATGGAGGTCGGTGGTAGTCCGTCTCCACCCAAAGACCAACAACAAACACTGCTAACAATGTTCAATATGTTCCAGCAGCTTCTTGAACAACCAGACTGTCTGTGTGTGTGTGTGTGTGTGTGTGTGTGTGTGTGTGTGTGTGACACTGTGTGTGTGAGTGAGTGAATGAGTGTGTGTCAGTCTGTGTGTGTGTGTGTGTGTGTGTGTGTGTGTGTGTGTGTGTGTGTGTGTGTGATGTTACACTGTGTTGGAATAAATGAACTAAAGGTTCAGTCTGCTGGCTGGTTGTTCTGATTCACAATCAGTACTGCTGTTAGAGTTGAACAGGTTATACACATTATAATCTATACAGTAATATATGAGATATAATCTATACAGTAATATATGAGATATAATCTATAATAATATCAATCTTTAGATCATCAGACATCGTCAGTGCTATTCTTTTAAATCTAAAAACATCTTCTGCAGATGTTTTAATACCAACATGCTGTCAGTCACAGTGATTCTGCTCAATGTGTGGAAGTAAAGAGAGTGAGAACTGAGACTAACGGGGGGTTTTCAAATGTTTCTGCTGTGTGTGTGTGTGTGTGTGTGTGTGTGTGTGTGTGTGTGTGTGTGTGTGTGTGTGTGTGTGTGTGTGTGTGTGTGTGGGGGTCTCCACTTTCCCACCAGAGCTCTGAAAGGTTAATGAGCAGTTCAGGCTGCTTTTGTTCCTGTGAGCTTTTATCCAAAAAGACACACACACACACACACACACACACACACACACACACACACACACACACACACACACACACACACACACACAGTTGGGTTAATCAGCCTCCAATTAGCAGTAGCTGCTCATTTTCACATAGAAACTGAGAGCAGGAGGCTGAATTAGTCTGTGTGTGTGTGTGTGTGTGTGTGTGTGTGTGTGTGTGTGTGTGTGTGTGTGTGTGTGTGTGTGTGTGTGTGTGTGTGTGTGTGTGTGTGTGTGTGTGTGTGTGTGTGTGTGTGTGTGTGTGTGTGTGTGTGTGTGTGTGTGTGTGGAGAAGTGAGAGGTTTGTGGTTTTCTCTACCCAGCATGCACTGGGCCTGGCTGTGTGTTCCTGTTCACAGACACATTAACCAGTTCACTGATATAAACACAATCTGTTAATATTCACTGACAGTGACAAACACTGAACGCTGTAAAATAACTGACGATCATATTTAGAATAACGTTCCTATCTGCAATGTTCCTATATTTTATTTGGACCGTTAGCTCAGTGCTACTAACTAGCTCGCTGGTTATAAATCAGCCTCAGCCGTTATAAAGAGTTCGGTCTAGACCTGCTCTATTTGAAAAGTGTGCTGAGGTAACTTCTGTTATGAATTGGCGCTATACAAATAAAACTGAATTGAAAATTGAGTCAGCCAACAGCACGAAGCAACCAACACCAGACCCACACCGCACAGCCAAGACACAGCCAGCCGGGTTATTGTAAAGTCAGCACAGAGCGATCAGACCGATGCTGATCCATAAAGTTCATTGATTATTGCTGTGGCTGTGTGTTACTGCTGCATTCACTGTCACATGACCACATCTCCCACAATCCACCGGCTCAGAGACATGAAATTAAATCTGTCTCTGCGTCCTCGGTTACACAAACGCTCTTCCTCGCCGATGTTAAATTTACGGCGGAGCTGAACGCTCTGGTGGTGGCGGCACGCCGAGGCTGCTGGGAGGTGACAGATAACACGGACGGTGCTTCAGGATGATGGACGAGCTCAGACACACTCTGCTTCACCTGCCAGCACGAGGCCTGTTAGTCTCTAACTGTCTGACAGTGGTAAAGAAAGACAGCAAATATATATTATTTATATTATATTATATATAGTTTGAGTTAAAGCAGCTTCACTGTAACACAGGACGAACGTTTATTCTCTGTCCAACCGTTTGTTTCAGAGGAGAAGACCAGGACGTCCTGGTCTGTCTGTCTGTAACAACACTTTTAGTTTTCATCTGATTTTATATTTATGCTGAATATTACTCATTAATTAAGTTGTGATCCCATTTGTTTTTACTTTACTGGCAGTAATGTGCTTCCATATGTTTCAGTAGCCAACAACAATCTCATGAACTATATTATAATAAATAATAACAATCAATCAGTAGAATTATACTTTCTAAGTTAAAATAAAGGATTGATTACACGTCTTATAGCTGCTGGTTTCTATTGATCCCAATAATAAATTCACTCTTTCTGTTTCTGTAGCATTAAATACAGTCAGGTGATTCCTCTGCAGGCATCAGTTGTGCATGGACACACACATTATTATGGTCTGGCTCAGAATATTACGTCTGCACATCAGGAGCTGTTCTAGTGGAAAATGCAATTAGCATAAGTTAACCTCCAGAGCGGCTGTTTGTCTGAGCGTTACACACTGAAAGTAAATGTCCATCAGGACAAAGACAGAGACACAGAGAATACAAAGAGACACAGCAGAGAGACAGAGACAGAGACACAGCAGAGACAGAGACAGAGACACAGCAGAGACAGAGACACAGCAGAGACACAGAGACAGAGACACAGCAGAGACACAGAGACCGACACAGAGACACAGCAGAGATAGAGACAGACACACTGACAGACAGACAGAGACATAGCAGAGACAGAGACACAGCAGAGACAGAGACACAGCAGAGACAGAGACACAGACACAGACACAGCAGAGACAGAGACAAAGCAGACACAGAGACAGAGACACAGCAGAGACAGAGACACAGCAGAGACAGAGACACAGCAGAGACAGAGACACAGCAGAGACACAGAGACAGACACAGAGACACAGCAGAGACACAGAGACAGACACAGGAGAGACAGAGACAGACACAGAGACACAGCAGAGACACAGCAGAGACAGAGACAGCTGACACAACCCTGGGACTGTCCTCAGAAACGTCCTCAACCACCAGTTACACTGACTGGGATTAAACGAACTGGGAATTAGCAGTTTCCAACCACACAATGTAACATTCAGCTCAGTATCTCCAACAATACTCAACAATACTCAGTTTATGGATGTAATTACTGTCCCACCCCCCCCACAACTTCTGTGTCCCTCCCTCTGTCTCCATCGGACGGACATCAACGTTGTCCCGACTACTGACAGCTCCTCTCCACCCGACTGTTTATGGACCGCAGCGGTTGCCAGGTTACGATGTTTGACGAGGTACATAAGCATCAATCAAAACACGCTCCTATCAGCTGAGGTACAGGAGGAGGTTTGTTTATACCACCAGCACAGGAGCTGTGGACCACCGGGGAGCGGACCCAGGGACACCGGGACCGGGATCAAACACAACCTCCGACCTCCAGCTGATTTACAGCCAGCAGACTGTCTCATGTGGTGATCAATCAATATTCTAATCAATCAATTCGAAACATTGCTGCAGATTCATTGTGTCGTTCCAGCTCTAAAAAGACTGGATTCACTCTTTAAGGAGGATTGTTAACCCTCACTCTTCCTCCTGATGTAAACCTGGAAGTAAACTCTCCTACCCGACTCTCCTCCTCCTCCTCCTCCTCCTCCTCCTCCTCCTCCGGGTTCGGGTTCGTCCCTGAGGACTCTGCTGATCCTCCGAGAGAACGAGCTGAGGAAGCTGCTGACGGACGGCGCTCTTCGCTCTGCGTCTGATTCCACCTTCCTGACCGCCGTCCTCCCCGGACCGCTGCCCGTCCCGGGTTCAGACATGGATCTGAAGTACGGGAAGATCCTGCGCAGAGAGCTGGGCCTCGCCTGGGTCTTGTGATCCTCTCTCCGGTTGTTCGGGAGGGTGCTGAACCTCGGCAGGCTGAGCAGCCGAAGGTGAAGGGGCTCTCTGTTTTGTCCCTTAGGGGCGTCCATCTTGTCAGGCCTTGGTGCCAGACAGGCAGATGTCCTCCACTTGTATCTGTCCAATGGCTGCTCAGGACTAGGCTGGGGGTGGGCTCTCTGCCAGGGCTTCCTGTAATGGTGCCTGTGGTGCGAGGCCTGATCCAGATCCTGGCCTGGACCCTCGCAGCCCTCGGGGGAAGTTCTCCGTCCACTCATGGTCCAGCACACACCGACTTCCTCCAGGCAGCAGCGAGCAGATGGAGGCCTCCAAAATGGCCGAAACAGCTGGTTTGCCGACAGCTGTGCTCCAACACGGTCATACTACCTTAAAAACACATTTCTGTTCCGACGGTCGAGGTCGTCTTCATGTCGACGGCGAGCTCGAGCTGCTGTCTCGCTCTTTCTCAACAGGCTGGTGACTGTCTTCCTGGGAGGAAGTGGAGCCTCAGATGAAGAAGTTTCTCTCGAGGTCGGCCAATCAGGGTTCAGCGAGCAGCACAGCCAGCAGACTGTGGTTTCCCCTGAACGGCCTCGAAAGTGAAACTGCACTCGGCTCACTGCGTCACACCTCTGGTTCGTCCTCATTAGTTTATTGAACGTGTGTCTGCACGGCGCCGCTATCGCAGAGGTCAGCAGGTCTTTATCTCGGAGATAAGAACACAGATCTTCATCTTTATCTCAGAGAAACACCGCGGGTGGGATTTATTTCGGCTGTAGGATTCAGGAAAACACCTGAAAACACCGTTAACGGAGGATCTGTCGATCGCAGAGGAAGTAATAAAGTACAAACAGTTTGAATGGATATGGCGGGAATTATCTTTTGTTCCATCAAATACCCAAAACTTATCTTCACTTTCACTGCTTGTAAAAGGTTTTAAGGCTCCTGACAATCTTTACCACAGTGGCAGATCTGTTTGCTTAATAAAATAAAATGTGATTATATAGAAGATTGATCGAACATGTTGCAGATATTTAACTTTAATGGTCGAACGTACTGAAGCTCAGCGGCAGCAGGAGGAAGCAGGGCAGAGGAATCCCTGCAGGACTCGCTCTGCGTGTTGATTCATATGGAAACGAGGAGGTTTGTTGGTTAGAATTTACATGAGATGCTTTCAGCTGTCAGTCACACTGAGGATCTGCAGCACGTAAAGGTCAAAGGTCAAAGGTCACAGCGTCCAGACAGGAAATGCAACCACAAACCACTGAGACTCTTCTTATATAAAACATTATATTAATTTCACTACGCACACTGGAGGTTGTTACTCTTCAGAAAACAACTACTGATTGTTTCCATTACCTATTGATCCTTAATCTATTAGTTCAGTTCATAAAGTGTCAGAGAGTATTGATCCTCCAAACCCCCGAGGGGACGTCCTCACATGTCTGGAAGATATTCAGTTCACTGTCACAGAGGACAAAACAGAAAATATTTAAAAGCTGAAATCTGAATGAAAAATATTCAATATCAATTAATGTAATAGTTTATAACTAATTGATGGATAATGTTGCAGCGAGCTCTCAGCTCTTTTATTGGACCGTAAACATATAAACATATTTACTACATATAATAATAATAATAATAAAAAGTTAACTGTATAATATAATACCATATAAAGATCCTGAAGGATTAACTGTTATAAAGAGACTTTCTCTCCCGTCGGGCTTTAAAAGACGCGCTGCCCTCACTGACCTACATGTCACTCTCTTTATTGGATAACGAAGCGGCTGTCGGCCAGCACGGCGCCGCAACTAGGTCAGAGTTAAGACCCGGGCAGGCTAAAGCCGAGGAGTCCTGGACGGAGCCAAGTCCTCCTCCGACGGCCCCCCAGACAGACAGACAGAGGGACAGTCCTTTCATTTAATCCATCACACCACCATTCCCAGAGTTTTTCATTTTCTAATGATCAACTGATCCTTTCAGCTCCACTGAGAGACACACACACACACACACACACACACACACACACACACACACACACACACACACACACACACACACACACACACACACACGGTACTGCAAGTATCGGTTCTTCTGACGTCCCTACTTGGAAGACTCGTAGAGAACTAAAAGGTCTATGTGGGCGATCTGAGTGACGGGCTGAAAGACAATAAACCAGGATTTTGGGTTTCCAGGAGTTCAGCTGACTGGAAAACTGATCT